TAGAGGAAGGCGTCTAGTCATCACCACCCACCGCCAACTCTTGGGCTACTCTTTTACCAACAAATATGTCTTCTACTTGTTTTAGTTATACAGCGTTTTTTTTTTGTTTTTTTTTTTCGTTTTTCAGTTATTTAGTTTCGGTGGTGTAACAGCGGCAACACGTGGTCTAGAAAATCGTTAAAGTTACCTTGTTCTAGTTGCTCTATTTCTTTGCTATCAATATTAGATTATGTCTCTTCTGTCCAAGAGGATACTGCAGTAATATATAGCATCCAGGTTAAACGGATTAACACTGAAATATCCTTTGCTGATGAAATATGACGTTGACTAAATATAACAGCCGTGAGGGAACAAAGGTCACTAAGTGACGCTTTCGACTGCACAAAGAAACCGAGTTTACCTGTTGAATTCAGGCGCGCTTTCTTTAGCCAGTTTCTGCTAGGAGATCGTCAAGAGAAATTTTCTGTCAAGAACAAGGTGTTCTAGTTCTACTGAGGTTAATCCTGAGAGAAAGAGAGAGCTGTGGATGGAAACACAGTTGTCTATTACAGAACACTCGCCTTATTTATTGGTTGAATCTTCTGTTGTTTACGTGTTCAACTATTTGATACTTGTAAAGAAAGTGTAGTATCAACATCTAGTGTAAATTTATCCAGAATTTATAAGCGATAAGAAATGTTTAAAATAAAATCGACAAAAGCAGATAACGACTAAACAAGTTGGAAACGATCAACAAACACTTTATAATCGTAAGCCCATATATAAATCCCTCGATCCCTCAGTGGTAAGGGTGAGGTCTTATAACTCTATAATTCGGGATTGAATCCCTCCAGTGACCACAGGCAGATAGCCCATTGAACAGCTTTGCGCTTAAAACAAATAAAGGAAACATATCTGAACCAATATTTGTAAACAATAACTAAATTTATATTTGTGTTTGAGAAATTTAAAAAGTTCACTTGTAAGTTTCTAAGAGATACTTCACGATGTGGAGACATAACATCACTTGTAAGTCTGTAAGAAATACTTCACGATGTGGATACACAACGTCACTTGTAAGTCTGTAAGAAATACTTCACGATGTGGATTCACATAACATCACATGTAAGTCTGTAAGAAATACTTCACGATGGATACAGAACTTCACTTGTAAGTCTCTAAGAAAGACTTCATGATATGGATACACATAATGTCACTTGTAAGTCTCTAAAAGATACTTCACGATGTAGATACACAACGTCACTTGTAAGTCTGTAAAAAATACTTCACGATGTGGATACACATAACGTCACTTGTAAGTCTGTAAGAAATAATTCACGATGTGGATACACATAACGTCACTTGTAAGTCTGTAAGAAATACTTCACGATGTGGAGACATAACATCACTTGTAAGTCTAAGAAGTACTTCACGATGTGGATACACATAACGTCAAGTGTAAGTCTCTAAGAAATACTTCACGATGTGGATACACATAACGTCACTTGTAAGTATCTAAGAAGTACTTCCCGATGTGGATACACATAACGTCAAGTGTAAGTATCTAAAAATACTTCACGATGTGGATACACATAAAATCAGTTGTAAGTCTGTAAGAAATATTTCATTATGTGGAGACACATAACGTCACTTGTAAGTCTCTAAGAAATACTTCGCGATGTGGAGACACATAACGTCACTTATAAGTCTGACAGAGTCCGCCCCTTTTTTGTCGCTCCGTTCCTGCATTGTTTTAAAAATATACAGCTCAAAAGAGAGCAATTCCTGTAATACACGTGTATTAATATTCTGTTAATATTAAACACTTTTTTTTTCAACACAAAAAGAGTACACAAGTGTATTCAGTAAACATTAATCTTGCAGTCCTAGCACGTGTTGGAAAAAATATGCATTTTTGCAACCGAAGAAAAAGAATAAAAGAATGTCACTATCTACATCCAAATAAGAATTTCCTTTTTTTTTAGGGATAAGATTAATTAATCCAACACATTCAAGGAAATACTCGTGTTCTATATTCAATTTGTTTGTATCATTAGGATCCATCAATGGCTCAACTAGACTTTTTTCTCAGATGTAAGTTGTAGCACAGGCAGTAGTTAGACGCCGCCCTCTGTATCCGTATGAGTAATATCTATCAAAGAAAAAAAAAGGTTTGTAAAATATATAAACTATAAAAGGTGATTTTAGATTTTTCGATGAAAATGCTTAACAAGAGGTATGCTTGTTTGTAATTA